CTTGATTCCCTGCAGCACAGAGGGACAGGAGCCACAGTTCTGCTGGATCTGGCACATTCCCACATTCCCTGCAGAGCTCCCCCGTGCTGGTGAGGCAGACAGGCCATGTTGGGAATAAGGCATGGCAAGGAGAAGGATGCAGAGTTTTAATTTTGCACTTTGCCATGAAAATGGAGCAAGGGAAGAGGAAGGTTAGAGCTTTTAGAAATCACAGTACACTGAACATTCCTTGCTTTAGGAAAAGTTCAGATCCAGCCAAGGGAGCTTCCAGAGCATTACATTGTTTGATTTGCTGCTAAAATTCTACCTATGTAAGCTCAGAACTTTCATTTCCCCCCAAATACAATTAAACCTTTCATGAAGAACTGTTGGGAGGTTTTGTTTGTTTTTAATAAAGAGAATGAGGTGAACATTTCCACAGCTGAGTGCTTCATGGTTGGAACACTTTTCTCGGTTTTGTCCTTCTGAATGAACATTATTTCTTTGAGTTAATTTCTAAATGAACCAAGAAATTGCAAATAAATCTCCTATCTGAACACTGTTTAGATAAATCTCATACTCGAATGTTGTTATCTAAAAGCTCATATCAAACTCATAAAGATAATTACCTATTGTGACTCGGATATTACACCCAGCTCGATCTAATGGATTAGTTATCTTGATTCTGGACTTGCAAAGTGAGTTTGTTCATGTCAGATGTTAATGTACAGCAAGGTATTCAAAATCCAGAAAGAAAACCAGAAGAGCAAACATGAGTAACTTTCAAATGATACCCTACTGATTTTGGTTGTGTGTTTTCTCCAGAGGTGCTTGCAGTATGGCTTGTTAAGTTTGGGAGATTTACTTTGTTGCTGCTGAAATGGTAATTAAAATAAGTATAGGAAGATTCAGCTGCTGTGTTACATAGTTAAAGGTTGAACTTAATTATTGCAATGCAAAGAAGCAAATTAATTACTATTGTCTTCAGCCTGTCTTGTCTTACCCTGATATTCCTATATCTATGTGGATACACAATAGGGAGGATTTACAGCAGAATTTTACTATTGATTCCCAAATCTTGGGCTTTTATCCTTTGAAAGTAGGAACAAAAAATAATTTGAATTTAGAAACCTTGTTTAACTACTTTTGCAGCAGGATTATTGCTCACAGATCCATAGCTCCAAAGATCAGGCTGCTTTTCCACAATACCAGATTTCATTCTAACAAAGGAATGTTTTCTCTCTCAGGAGTCTTTTGGGTAGCTGCAGTCCAAGGCAGGCAATTAATGCCTGTGTTGAGTGGAAGCTGAGAGGTTGATAGGCTCCACAGCATAATGCCAGGGTGTTTCTAGCCACTGATTCTAATGTTAATTTCTGGATTTCAGACTGGAAAATTATATGTGTGTGTGGATGTGTGAATAATAATTATAAAACCCCAAAACCTCAACGATGCAGAACACTTTATATTTTGTTTTCTTTGAATATTGCTGTTATCTGTGTATTTCCTGCAGAGGAAGAATGTATGGTTATTAATGTAATTGGACAACAGCTCAAGGAGGGAATGGAACTCAGATTTCCTCCATTAATATTTCAGTCAAGACTCAGTTGACAATAATAATGTATTTTCCATGATTTATACGCTGGAGTGTCCCATGCAATGAGACTGGATAGACCCCACAGGTTAAAGGTGGGGGAAATGGGCCTTTTTCCAGTTTCAGAGTTCTGCTCTGGTGTTCTGTTGCTGCTCCTGCTCTCACTTTGTGGTTGTTCCCTCTGTAAGGGATGATGGTCAGTATGACCTTCAGGATGCAGTAAAGGATTGTAATTTTCCCCTAAGAACTGTTCTAATGTCAATCTCCTCCTTTTTCCCTGCTCTTTTCCTTGTCATACAAGTCCCAAATGTTTGTTGTTGTTCAACTTGAACCTTAAAGAAATGCATTGAAATGGCAGATGCCCCCAGGTGGTTGTGCACCCTGTTCAGCTCCACACTGCATGGAGCACTGGTGGTGCTGTAGTGGATTATTTTATAATTAAAGCCTGAAAAGCAGAATGCATGTGCAAAAGGGAGTTCATTAACTTACTGCTGAGCTCTTGGTGCTGAAAGCTCAGTGCTAACTTGAGTTCTGGTCCACAGAATGTCTATTACTATTTGGTTTTTTTCCTGAGCTATTACAGCTAAGTAGTAGCTTCCCAGATTTGTTTTTATGTTTGCAAAACTCAGATTTCCCAGCGTTGGTAAAGAAAACCCAAGCTGTGTGCTGAATAAAAATAAAGTGGCATTTTGGAAATTAAGTTTTGATAGTATTGAGAAACACTTTGCAGAACCATTGCCTTTGTCTCACTTTTATTATCATTATTATTACTTTTATTAAAATCCTTTTCAGAGGGTTTATACTGAATTGACTTATGGAGGGAAAGCTGAAAGTTAACATCCATTTTGTGCAGCACCCGTGTGGTTTTCTTTTTTTCCACTGCTTCGTGACAGCATGCTTTTTCTGTGTTTGTGGAAAGGTTACTGTGTGTGTGTGTTGGTATTTGAGAGTGTCTGAGGGTAAATACTACACCCTGCTGAGCAGCAGCAGTTATTTTACAAGGGCTACTTTCTACATGCAAAACATGCACCAGCACTTGGTTTGTTACCATGAGCTGGGTGCAATCAATATCACTGCTGGGCCACAAGGTACACCTCATGTCCTTGACATTTTTTCTCACTAGACTGCTTATGTGTGTTTGGTTATCTCTGTCTCCTATCCTGTTAGCTTTATCAAATTAATTTGCCTGCCAGTCTTAGGGAATTTTGTGTAATCGCGTTTCTATTCTGGCGGTGAATTTGTAATTGGAAAGTAATTATTTAAGTTTTCCTGGTATCAGCATTTATTGGTTCATGTTTTATTACTTAGAAATCACAGAATCTACTGGAAGGGGTCCACAGGGATCATCAGTCCAGCCCCTGGCCCTGCACAGACACCCAGCAATCCCACCCTGTCCCTGGGAGCAGTGTCCATAGGCTCCTTGGGCTCTGGCAGCCTTGGGGCTGTGCCCATTCCCTGGGGAGCCTGGGCAGTGCCCCACACCCTCTGGGGGAAGAACCTTGCCCTGATATCCAGCCTATTTGTAATATCGAACTTATAAATATGCAGAGGTTTTGGAGTGGGTTTTTAAGCACTCTTTCACCTTGTAACTCTGTTGAAAACTCTGGAGGACTCAAGGACTGTGCTCTGGCAACCTTTTAATGCTTAAAGTGGACGCTGTGCTCTGTAAATACAGAGCTTTTAATAGGAAAGAGCCTTTTCCTCTTGTTGCCTTGCAATCCTTTTATGGGAATAATATCAATTTCCTAGTATGATCACATTAGCCATGTGGCCTTGGAGCAGAAACTACTTCAACAGAGAGAGGTAAATGAAAAATACAATGAGATACAAAATGGCACTTGCCAAAGTTGCCTGCTCCCTTTTTTGGGTGACATTTTTTTAAACAAAAGGAATTCTGTGCAGCATTAAATGCTGGGCTTTATCAGAGATTTGTATTCTAATGCCATATGAGCAAGGCTGGAAAGAGCCTCCTTGGTCTCCAAGTCCAGGCAAAAGATCACATACAGGAGAAGGTCATTTATTTCCAGGCTTTTAAAGCAGCTTCTTATAGTAATGAGATTTTTTTTTATCCCCACTACTTAGAGTGGAGTAAGTTTTTGTATCTCACTGTTCAAGAACTGTCTCCTAATTTTCCACTGGAATTTATCTGCAGATAATGAATCCCCATATGTTCCTGCATCAACACTGCTCTTCAGCCTTAATAGCTTCTTTCCCTCTTTGCTCTTAACCCCTGAGATATTTACAACAACAATGTAATCCCCTTCAACTGCTGCTTTGTTGGGCTGAGTTCTCCTAAGTGGTTCAGAGATATAATATGAACCACAGAGCATTATCGAGGAGTGTCCCTTCAGAATTACGTTGTGGTCAAACCTCATTAACTGCTTTCTGAAAGGGTTTGTTGCAAATAGTGAGAATATACTGCTAGATATGCTGATGATAAAATGTAGGAGGTTTTATCAGTGAAAAAGAGAATTCAAATTTCTTATGTCAGAGTAGGAGTGATTTTTAATTTTTTTTTAATGAGGAAAATAAAAATGGGACTAAGCTGATGATATAAACTCCAAAAGCATGACAGAGATATGATTAACCTATGTTACCCTGGCTCGTGTTAGATTGATTCAAGACTAGGATGAGTAGTGGAATTTCAGATCTTGTGTTTGGGTTTTTTCAACTCTCCAGAAAAATGCAACAAACTGTCATTCAATTGCAGTGTTAATAAAATGCTTTCTTAGAGGGAAAATGTGTTATTCAACATATGACTGCACTGCTCCAAGCTGGGCTTCACTTTTAACAGGAAATATTTTTTAACCCAAGAAGCCAGTGGCTTCTATGAAAACAGAGAAGGGCATCTCTTTTCAGTCCCCTTGTCTTGCCATCCTGAAGATTTCAGGTTTTTAGCAGGAGATACTGTGGTTGGATGGCTCCTGTACTGGGAGAACAAGCCAGATATCAGTGATGACATCTGACATATGTTACTGCACTATGTAGGTCACTTATGGCCTAATGTGAGAGATGACAAAAGATAATTAATTTGGATTTCATGCCTGTGATTCCTTAAGGAAGCCTTTAATGGTGTGTGTGGAATAACAAGAGGCATGTACTGACTCACTGCCTGAGAGCAAGAGCTCAGTGTTTTGAAAGAAGCAATTCCACCTTCTAATTCCAGCCCTCCAGCCAGGGAGATGGCTTTACTTGGGGATATCTGGATGCACCTTTTCTGCTGGCTGTAATGTGAAGTAAGGAGATATATCTTTAGAAATGGTGAGAAATGTGTTCCTGTTCTAGCAACCAGGAGCTGGCTTTTTAGCACACAGTGTGTCTTGATTTTCACCCAGCCATAAAATCAAGGTCTTTCTGTTTACACCAAGGCTATAGAATAACTTACATTGCTCTAACTTATTTAAATGCTCTCTTTTTGTTTCACTCCTAGGGTCTTCGTGTTTACACATTCCAGGGTCACGTGCATTCCTGTAATCATGCTACATTCAACAAGAAGGTAAGTTGTGCATGCAAATTTCCTTTTTCTCTTCCCTTTAACCATCATGTTCCTTGCTCTGGCCCATACTGTCCTGCTCCTTGGTGACACAGAGAGCTCTGGGGCTGATTCAGAATCAGTGGTGGCTCAGAGTGGCCCCATCTGCCAGGCAGACCAGAGCCCCAGTGCTTGTTACAATAGAGCTGCCCCATCCTTGCTGCTCCCTCCTTCCTCCTTTGATCACTGCATGATGTCTTAGCCATTCTCCTCTGTGGAGATCATTGGTTACTTTATTTAAGTGAAATTTTTAAAGTTTTTTCCCTGGCTGTTTTTGTCAGTTGTTGTCTAAAAGGAACCATTTAGAGTGGGATTGGTGACAGACTGCTGTCTGAATGACTGATAACTTTGGAAGGGGAGGAATTTCACCTGAATGGCTCTTAGAGGCTATATGAAATACTCTGAAATGACCCAAACATTCGTGATCTATTGTTGTAATGTACTGGCTCTGGGGCAGCCCCCTGGACTCAACCAGCCTAAAAGTAAACAAGTGCCTGGGTGAGGGACGATAGGATGGATTTGAACACATCCAAAGGATCCCAGCCAATTCATTGCACCTTAAGTGCAGATGGATGGCCAGGGAAATAGATGGGAGTATTAAGACCCCAACCAATCACATGTGTATATCTGGGAGATTCAAACCCTCTATTTAAGAAAGATCTAGGGACAATAAAGAGCTTTTGTCATATGGATTACTGAAGGTCATGTCATCTGTCCCCAACCACGACCCCCAATTAATGTAATCGTGTATGATTCCTGCAGCTCTCGTGGCCACACTGCTCTTTAAAAAACTGGTGTGGAAGTGCTGAGGCATGTGCTGGTTTCTGCTGCCACTAGCAGCCTTTTCTCTCAGAGAGCATCTTTCCTGAAAAATAACTTTGTGGTGTTCCTGCTCCCCGTGCTCCCACCGACACCTTCATTACAGGCAGAGCAAAATACTCATTTTTCCTGCAGGAGATCCTGAATAGTCTCTTCTTGCTCAGGATCAGCTGCTGCTTTGCCAACTGCTCTGCCAGCCCTGCGTGTTTGTAGGGCAAACCCCAGGGGCTGGCACAGCAGAAGGTATGGGATAAGCTGATGTCAGGGAGGGGAATAGGAATTCCCAAGGCATCTTAATTCTTTCTTGGCCATGTGCATGTGTCTGTATTTGACAGGCACAACCTGGCTCTCAGTGCCCTGAGATACCATGGTGGGGAACAGAGAGGATTTAACAGCAGCAAGCATGGCAAGGGAAATACTGTAGAGATACCACAGCACTGTCTTTAATGTGGGTATTAATTTACAAAGGGCCTCATGTGATCCATAATGATTAATTATTAATGAATGAGGATGCTGAAAGACCACATGTTGATATGCATGCAGTTTTGGTAAGGAATATTACAGTTGGCATTAACTCTTGACTAAAATCATTGGTTGACATTGCCAGTGATTGAATTAGTAAAAATGGAAACATTTGGTGCAGCAGTGGTCAAAGTGAATGAAGAATGTAACTTCAGAAGCTGTGATTGCAGTTTTATAAGTTAACTCTGCTACTGAAAAATTAAAAAGTGGCCCTGAGTTGTACAAGTAACAGTTGTCCCACTGGCTGACTAGCAAAGCAAGTGCTATATTTCAGCCAAATACAGCATTTGAGAACTATTTTCTTACCCTCTAGAGTTTGCTCACCAAAAAATTTAAATATTCCACTCTAAGCAAGCTGATTAAGGTGTTTTGAGAGTCAATATTTTTGTTTAAAATGTATATTTTATGCGGAAAAATGTTTTTATAGAAACAGTCGTATTTTCAGCAATACTTTCACGGAAAAGATTTTGGGCATTGATAAGGGACTATTTGGACAAAGTGCAGCACTACTTCCAGAGTGTCCATCCTAATGGCCCAGGAAGTCTACAATGACAATACTGAAGGCTGATTGCTGAAAAAAACATACTTAGATTTTGTTTGTTTGTTTGTTTGTTTGTTTGTAGGTTTTTTTGGGTTTTTTGTTTTGTTTTGTTATATTTTCTTTTATCCCAATGTCTGCACATCCCATATTTTGCCAGAAGTGTTGCCTACATGGTCACGCTCTGTGGGTGCAGAGCAGTAATGGTGAGAGATCCCAAGGGATTCACTCCTTTTTCTCCATGGACATAGGTCAGTTGGAGTGGGCTCCTACATCACTTTAGTGGGTTTGTGGCAATCCTGTCTTGAGTTGCTTGGTACCAAAAGCAGTTCAAAAAGAAGATGAAATTCTAATTACACAAAAACAAGGAACAAATTTAGATCAGAAAGCCATCCAGGCAGTGCCAAATATTTAGGGGTATTTTTGTGTGAAGAAGAAGCTAAAAAAGAATAATGCATTTATACAAATTGAATAAATCCTCATTAAGCTCTATGAAACTGATTAAATCTGAGTTATTTACTACACCATGCTTCTGAAACTGTAGTTAATAGAGGTTTTTTTGTTAAGTGGGCAAGGTTTGCAGCCAGAACTCTTACTGTTGCTGAGATTCCCCAATTAGCCTGTTCTCTATGGAGCAGAACTGCCAGCTTGGCACCTGGAATGTGCCCATTTGTTGGGTTCTGCCTTGCTGGGACACAGGAGTCACAGTGCCCTGGAAAAACTTCTGCACTCGTGGTTATGTCAGGGCTGAACAGGTAACACTTCCAGCAGCATTTGAAATCCTGCACTTTTCCAAGTTGGCTCTCTGCCTGTGGAACATTTGAGAAAATTTGAGCAAAACTCACATAGCTGCTTTTGAATTGAGGACATTGAAAAATGCAACTTTCCTCCTAAAAATTACTGTTACCATCCATTTTAGTCCCACGTTTCCTTAACACAGTAACTTTGTAGAGAAAAATGTTTCAGACATTTATTTTGTGCTGGGGTATGGCCCAAACAGCATTTCAGGTAAGCTCTGTATCTCTTTTGCAATGGTAAATCACCAATGCTAATGAAATATAAAGACCATAGATCCTTGGTTGGGTCATGAATTTAAAGCAGAACAAGATTTGCTCCCTTATATATTTGTATATATGTGTTTGTGTCCAAATAAAAGTATGCCAAGTGTCTGCCATGCTGTGTTTGTATCATATCTGCAGGTTTAGGAATCATTACAGTGGTTACCAAGTTTCCTTAAAACAAAAGAGAAGTATTTTTACAATTGTTGGTTATATTAGGAAAACCTAAAAGACTATGAAAAATATGTTTGAGAACTGCTGCCCAATTTTACCTCCCCAGGCCAAAATGCAAGCAGCATCTAGGCCATTCCTCCATTGATTTACTGAAGGGCAAATAATGTCAGACAGTTTTTAAACAAAAAAAAAAAAAAAAAAATTCAATTTTGTTTACCTCCTCAGCAGTCCAGTTGGATGTCAGCTACCATTTAGCTGGGCCAATAATATTGATATTTGATGTCAGTTCTTATTCATTACTGCACCCAAATGATGCAAAAGTCAGATCTCTCAGATGTTTCTATGGATAGCCAGATAAAGCCAGGGATGTCTGACTGCACCTAACAGACACAAACAAGAAAAGAACAGAATACAAAATCCAAAACCTTTCTGCTCTTATTGTTATTTATGTATTCAAAGTGTTCACCTCTTTGCATAAACTCAAAGCCAGTTGCTTACAAAGGTTACCCAGTAATATCAAACATGTTCAATTATACATGCAAAAGGGCTAATAGGTTCTTCCTCTAGTTTATTTCTGTCTCCGTGCATAAGAAATATAATTACAGAGCCGAATTAAATTTTAAGTACAGATTTTATTATCATTAGTTAACCATTTTCAGGCCATCAGACACAGTTAGAAGTGAAGGAAAAATCTGCTCCATTTCTCTGTCATGGCAAGGAACAAAATCCATGTCAAAATAACCCAGTTTTATTTGTTGGCAAACAGCTCTTTCTGACATTAGGGAATCGCTCTGAAAATTGTTCTGGAATTCACTTTTACATCCATTCTCTGACATAGTCATGTTATTCCCTAATTTTGGAAGTAAGTTTCCTGGAGTGCTCCTTTCCCTTGGCCATCCTCCCTGTGTTACCCACAGATCCTGCAGTTAACACTGGGCCTGCTTTACACATTATGTGCAGACCAGATAACTCAAGTAGAATTGGGTACATCCATCTTTATTTTGGTCAGTTGGAATATTTTTGCTCTCCAACTCTGATACTGTCAATGTAGAAGTCTGGATAAATATGTCTAGTGGATAGCCTAGAAGTAAAAATATTCCTCTGGACCTCACTGTGAGAAAGCTGCAATGTGAAGGGACTTATTTAAAGGCCAAGGAAATTCAAGATGCATTGATCTGGAAGGGATTGGTTCTCCTGAGTTGTAGTATTCCTGTGTCCTTGAGAAAAGAGACAGTCTCACAGCCAAGGCCCTTCACTGGGATTTAAAAAAAACACAAATCCAGGACTGATTTTTAAATGTCACACCTTGTTTGTGTCATTCAGTTTCCCATCACCATTTCAGGTTTCTCATCAGAGATCATTTGCAAAGAAAAACTCAGTAATAGGTGTCACACACCTCGATAAGGCAAGGGCAGAGAAAAGCCACGTGCAGCAGATGATGGGCACTGAGAATCCTTCAGTGTCAGTAAATGCACTGGCTGCTGCTGGAGTTTGCCTCTGCACTCCTAAATCACACAAAGTGCAGTTCCTTCACTCTCTGTTTTGTCTTCCTGGGTTATTGTTGGATCAAAATCCCAGTTATAATTTCTTCTGGGGAAAAAAAAATCATTAAAAAATCTCTTAGTCTAGCAGTTTGGTTCATCTAGGCAAAAGCTGACTTCAAAAACTTGGCATTACCTGTTTTTTCTATTCTCTGTAACATATATAAATGCATTATATATAAATCAACATAAACCTGTTTGAAGATTCTAAACCCAATCCTGTCAAGTTTACTAACTCTAAAAATAACTACAGCTCAAGAAAACCTTCCTTCTTTTGTTTCAAGCCTTTGCATTATGAGATGTGAGATGAGCTCATTCTGCCAAGAGTGCTCTCTCCTCCAGCCTCAGGGTTTGCATCCCTCTTTTGTTTGGACAATGTCAGGGTTTGGACTTTGATGAGCCTTGTGGGTCCCTTCCAAGCCAGGATATTCTGTGATTCCATGATTTAC